TTGGAGGAGAATATGGGCTGCCAAAATAACCAATAGATCCATTTTGGATGAAGTGCAGCCGGAATGCTCCTTAGAGGCCAAGATGGCAAAACTTCGTGTCTCATACTTGGACATATTGTCAGGAGGGACTAGTCACTGGAGAAGTATATCATGTTTGGTAAGGTGGAGGGTCAGAGAAAAAGAGGAAGACCCCCAACGAGATGAACTGGCTAAGTGGCAGCATCGATGGACTCAGCATGGCACCAGTAGTGAGGTTGGCCCAGGATGGGGCAGTGTTTCGTTCTGCTGTGCATAAGGTCGCTATGGGTTGGTACCAACTCAATGGCACTAACAACAACATAATTGGTAGCATCAATGGGCTCAAGCGCGGCAACAATTGTGAGGTTGGCCCCAGACCGGGCAGTGTTTCATTCTATTGTGCATAGGGTCGCTATCAGTCGGTACCAACTTGATGGCACCTAATAACAACAATAATTAACTCTAGCATCAAATTAACATCTGTCCTTGAATTAACTGCTGGTTTAGCAGTGTCCCAGAACTGGTAAAGTGAACAGCAGTGATACACAGAAGAGAGCACATAAGCCAACTTGTGTCTGAGGAATAAATGACCACCTTAATGAAGGCAACTAAAATGTTGAATACATTTCAGAAGAATGTTTTAAAGACATTGTTAGGCTGGCAAAAAAAGAAGTAACAATAAATTCCAGCAGCTAAAAATGGATGAAAGTAGGAACCTTAGGAGGCAATCAACAAAGCTAGCTTTTGGCTTGATGTTTTTGCATCAGATTTGAAAACTACATTGGGTGAAGGGAACAGAATATAATATGGTGGGCCTGGATTCCTGGTGTGGCTTGTTCTGTATGATAGGCAATGGAATGCTAACCACAAGGTTAGTGGTTCAAACCTACCAGTTGCTCCTTGGAAACACTATGCAGGGTCTTTATGACTCAAATTGACTCAAAGCCACTTAGCAACAACAACTGAAAGTGGGAGTCCTTATACTGGAGCCTTGAAACCCCTGGGATCCCAGCTTCAATGTGAGGGTGGATGAGAAATAAGAAACAAATACACTGCTCAGAAGCAGTCACGGGAACCCTGGTCCCCACACACTGTTTTGGTCTAAATTAACGCTCCCAGTGTTATCCCCAGGTAAAGACATTAATGTCAAATACTTCCAGGCTGGCAGGGCTCCTAGGCAACTGCTAGAGAAGCAAAACCAAATAATCTTTTTGTAGGAATATAACTTAAAACAATGCCTTTAGGAATTTCTCAAATAATAAAAACAAAAGAAACAAAGCGCCATTAGCAAGAATTTTAAAACATGACAGCAAAATTGGAATGCAAAGAAGATACTGAAATGTTCAGACACAGACGGTAACTATATTGCCGTAACTATATTGCCTATGTCTAAGACACGAAGGAGAAACTTGAAAATCTGACTATAAGGAACAAAAGACTATACAAAATTATTGTGCAGTGTTAGGAGGCTGGGGAATCTAAAATACAACCAACCACAGAGTTCCAAAAAGAACAGAAACAGAAAGCCGCTTTCTTTGAAAAGATAATGGCTGAGAATCCAAGACCACAAACCTCAATCCAGGAGGTCAAACGTACCCCGAGCACAATAAACACAAGTTCTTAAAGCAGCCTGAGAGACAGTCAGACAAACAGCTGACTCCTCAACAGCACCAATGGCCATCAGAAGATAATAGTCTTCCCAATGAGCTAAGACAAAAATCACTTTCAACCCAGAATTCTAACCCAATGAAACTAAACCCAAAATACTCATTTTCAAATAAAAAGTAAGAAAGTTATCACTGACAGATACTCATCTACAGAAATTCTAATCTAAAAGATGTAATTTTCAGAAGAATGTGATTCCAAGTGGAAGATCAGATATGCAAGAAGGATACAGAAAATTCTTGGCATATAGCTGGGTAAATCTAAGCTATTTTTGACTGAATGAAATGATAATACTGTGTAATTTGTGAAGAAATAAATATTAGATGGTGATTAAAGGTTTGTAAGGAGTTTGAGTTGCTTAGAAAGAAGGTACAGTTATGGATTAACAACAAATTTCATTAAATTAAGTAAACAAATATGCATGTGTGTTTAAAACACACAGGAAGATCACTAAAATAATAGAGTACACCTTCCAAGCGAGTTGAGGGCAAAAGTCAAATGTGGCAAAAGGTTTAAGTGCTATTGAGTCCCGAGTTGGTTCCAAGTGTAGGGATCGTCTGTATAGGGTTTCTGAGAAGTGGCTGGTGGATTTGAACCTCCAACCTTAAGGCAAAAAGCAGTTCTTTGTAAAAGATTAAAATTTAAAATTAGATGAAATGGATATAAGTTCCTTAAACAATACAATTTAGCAAAATTTAGCACAAGAAAATCCAAGCGATGTTATAAGTTTTAAGCAAATCCCTCTAACAGGGAGTAACAAAGAAGGTTTCTAAGATAATGGTAACTGTTCTTATTTTGTTATCTAGATGCTAAGTAAGTGTTCACCTTATTATATAATTTTTTAATACATCCTTTTGAATGATGTATGTCAAAATAAAAACAAGTAATCTGTTTTAGTTTCTTTAATAAGGGTTGTGGAGATACTCCTTGGACTAAAAACAGAATCTAACACGAGTACAATCTAAACCCAGATGGTGACCCTAGGGTAGAGAATAATAGTGACAGTACAAAAATCACCATCATCATGATTAATATTCATACTGAGTGATTCCTATGGGTAAAGGACTGAGCTAAGAGCTTTATATGTATTAATTCATCTGATGTTCATAATAACCCTATAAGGCTGGTGTTTGTTGTTAAGTACTAAATTGGTTCCAACTCATCATTACCAGGCTTTCTGAGGAGCGGATGGTGGGTGTGAATTCCCACTATGAGGTCAATGTGCTTATCCTATAGTTCTATACCTGAACTCTGACCCCATAAAGTAGGTTACTACAATTCTCACATAATTATTAAATGGAGACACCAGTATTGAACCCAGACAATTTGACTGCCTAAGTTCTTAACCATCCACTTCATGCCAAAACATTTCCCAAACTATGAGATTCCCTTCTTACCAGTTGATGGGAGAGATATCTATTTAATATCAGGATCTTAAATGCACAACTCTGTAAGACAGCAACACCCTTTTAGTGGCTATCATTAGAGCTGAGCCCATTAAAATGTATCATTCCAATGACAAGGAAATACTGAACTTCCAGCAGCTCTTCTAATTCATTAACGTATTTCTCACCACACCTCTATCAAACTATCAAAGTATTATAAAGTACATTCAATTCCAAATAACCAACTTGAGTGAATATTTGGTTGCTGGCTTCCCATAATCACATATGCCAGTTGTAGGGAGGAGAAAAGAATCCAGCTCTGAAATATGCTCTCTAAAAGTCCTACAATGGGGTGCAGATAGTCTAGTTCAGAACAGAAAAATGTCCTAATTATTCTCTGCAACTTAAAAATAACTCCAGGTGGTCTTGCTTTTATAATGATGTAGAAAAAGCCAGTTCCCATGGTAATGTGTCCACTTTAAGATGCTGATGAGGCATGTGAAGGGTTTCTCTCTTGACAAAGGACTGATTTAAAAACAGACTGATCCATTCTGTACTCTAATATGAAATTTCAAATCATATTTGAGGGTTAACCACCCCCAAAATTCTCTTAATAGCAGCTGAATTCTTAAAATAAGTCCAAATGCAAGCTTGGATATTGAAGGCAACTCAGATTTTCTTGGGATGCTAATGAAGTAAAATAAAATGTCTGGGTTTTTAAGATGAGTGCATAAGGTTTCTACATACTTTGTTTTTTACTTACTCTTTACACTCTTTAGACACGTGGGATGGTACTGTGTATTTGCAATCCATGATCATTGTCAATGTTTCACTGTCATTGGCTTCTTGAAAGGGGGGCTGCCCACACACCAACATGAAAAGGATCACTCCCAGACTCCATATATCTACAAAGAAAAGACATACTGTTAAATAAAGGACCACTTAGAAAGGGGCAAAACACCATTGGGGTTAAAAACAGGCTGATAATGTTCATTTATTCTGACTAATCAAAAGAATTTATCTTTTAAAGTGAAAACATCTAGGGAAGAAAACATAACCCCCAACAGGGCAAGAGACTTACCTGCCTTGTTCAATGTTATTCATAGTCACTTAAGGCCTAAGTAAGTACCAAGCACATAGAGGCACATAGTGAATGGAAAGTAAGTCTTCAATGGAAAGATGAGTTAGTTCATTCAATCGTTAATGGAAAGACCATCAACAGGAAATTAAGTATCAAGGCTCCCAAACCAGTGGACAAGACACTGCTGTTTACCCCATTACAACACACGCCAGACATAAAACAGATATTCTGAGACTTGAAAAGGATTTTGCCTATGGTCACAATCAACTCAGTTTCCCCCTCAATCCTAATGAGGTAACTAAGTTATATAACTCAGATCATTTTTATAGATAATAAAATCAAAGCTCAGCAATGGGAGAGCTATGACTGTGCTATGAAGCTGCCTGCCGATATTTTAAATACCAGCAGGCACATCCATGGTGGATAGGTTTCAGCTGAGCTTGCAGGCTAAGTCAGACTAGGAAGAAAAGAGAGGTCGACTACTGAGAATGCTTAGCCACTGGAAACCCTAAGAACAACAAGAGAACACTGTCAGATATGGTAATGAAAAGTCAAAGCCTTATGAAGAGCACCAGAATACTGTCTGATACAGTGCAGGAAGATGAGCTCCTCAGTTTGGAAGGCACTCAAGCTGCCTCTTCAAAGTAGAGCTGACTATGATTACTGGAATAAAGCTTTAGGGAACTTTATTTGCTGATGGGACACAACTCAAAATGAGGAGAAATATTTGTAAACATCCATTAAGAATCAAAACATAGGATGTACAAAGTATGAATCTAGGAATATTGGAAGTTGTCTAAAATTAAATGGAACTCATAAAGATTGATATCTTACGATGTCAGTGAGCTGAATGGACTGGTCTTGGCCATTCTGAATCTGACTATGGTTTACTATGCCAGGAATGACAAGTGGAAAAGGAGTGCTGTTGCATTCTTCATCAAAAACATTTCAAGATCTATCTTGAACGCTGTCTATGATAGGATAATATCCATATGTCTATAAGAAAGACCAGTTAATAATACTAGTATTCATATTTATGTACCAATAACTAAATGATGTGAAATTGAGGAATCCTATCAACTTCTACAATCTGAAATTGATCAAACATGAAGATTAGAAACAGAAGAAAATATGACCTTGGTGATAGAAATTATGCTGGAGATCGCAAGGCAGATTTCTGGAATGCCAACGATTTATTCAGTGTAAATGCCTTTTTTCAACAGCATAAAAGACTAGCTACACACATGGTCCTCACTAGATGGAATACACAGAAATCAAACTGACTACATCTGTAGTATGAGACTGTGGAAAAGCTCAACATCTTAAACCAAAACAACTCCAGGGCAGACTGCTCGTCTGCAAGTTCAAGTGAATTTAAGCAAGTCCATGAGAGCCAAACTATGACCCTGAATTTACAGACCATCCCAAGAACAGATTTGATGAACTAATGACCAAAGACCAGACGAGCAGTGAGATGACATCAAGAATATCAGACAGGAAGAAAGCAAAAGGTCATTAAGAAGACAAGAAGGAAGGAAAAAACCAAAATAAAAGTCAGAAGACACTATGAAACTTGTTTTTCAGTGTAGAGATATAAAGCAAAAGGAAGAAATGAGGAGCTAAAAGATATGAAAAGAAAATATGAAAGGGCAGCTCGAGAAGATAAAGTTAAGTATTATAAAGAAATGTGCAAAGACCTGGAGTTAGAAAACCAAAATTGAAGAACAGGATCAGCATTTTTCAAGCTGAAAGAACTGAAGAAAAAATTCAAGCCTCGACGTGAAATACTGAAGAATTCTATGGGCAAATATTGAATGATACAGAAAGCATCAAAAGAAGATGGAATGAACACATAGAGTCACTGACAGAAGAAATTCAAGGTACACTGAAGGCATTGGCAAATTAATAAGGCTCTGTAAAATGATAGAATACAAACTGAAATCTTTCAGCAAACTGATACAGCACTGGAGGAACACACTCATCTATGTCAAGATATCTGGAAGACAGCTACCTACCTGGCCAACTGATTGGTGGAGATCCATATTTATGTCCATTCCAAAGGACAGTATCATTAATATTACATGCCAAGTAAAATTTTGCTGAAAGATAATTTAAAAACACCAGCAACGGCGCATAAAACCGAGAACTGGAAGCATTTCAAGCCGGATTTAGACAAGCATGTAGAACAAGGGATATTATAGTTGTTGTCAGATGGATTTTGGCTGAAAGCAGAGAATACCAGAAAGATGTTTACCTGTGCTTTATTGATTATGTGAAAGCTTTCCACTTTGTGGATCAGACAAGCTATGGATAACACTGTGAAGAATGTGCATTCCAGAACACTTAATTGTGCTCATGAGGAATCTGTACAAAGACATAATGCAATGCATTGTTTGATTTCTTGACTGCTGCTTCCATGAGTGTTGATGGTTGATCTAAGTTTGACAACTCCAATCTTTTCACCATTTATCTTGATGGTATTTATTTGTCCAGTGGTGAGGATTTCTGTTTTCTTTACATTTGAGGTACAACCCATACTGAAAGCTATGATCTTTGATCATCATCAGTATGTTTAAGTCCTCTTTGCTTTCAGCAAGCAAGGCTGTAGTATCTGCATATCACAAACTGCTAATGAGTCTTCATCCAATTCTGATGCCTCGTTCTTCTTCATATAACCCAGCTTCTTGAATATTTGCTAAGCATACAGATTGAATACGCATGGTGAAAGAATATAACCATGGTGCATACCTTTCCTGATTTAAACCATTTCAGTGTCTTCTGTTCAAACGACTGCCTCTTGATCTATGTAACAGGATCCTCATGAGCACAATTAAATGTTGTAGAACACCCATTCTCTACAGTGTTGTCCATCGCTTGTAATGATCCACACAATCAAAAGTCTGCATAGTAAATAAAGACAAGAAAAATCTTTCTGATAGTCTTTGCTTTCAGCCAAGATCCATCTTAAGTCAACAATGATAACCCACGTTCCATGCCCCCATCTGCATCCCGCTTGAACCCCTGGTAGCTCCTTGCCACTGTACTGCTGTATCAATTTTTGAGTTATCTTTAGCAAAATTTTACTTGAAATTACCCAATGATTTCTGCATTCCGTTGGGTCACCTCTTGTTGGAAGGGACACAAATATGGATCTCTTCCATATTGGCCAGGTAGCTGTTTTACAAATTTCTTGGTACATACGAATAAATGCCTCCAGTGCTGCTTCAGTTTGTTCAAAGATTTCAATTTGTATTAATTTCCAAAGCCTTGTTCTTTCCCAATGCCTTCACAGTACACCTTGGACGTCTTACTTCAAAATCATTGTCTTTTGATCATATGCTACCTCTTGAAATGATTGAGCATAGACCATTTCTTTTTGGTCTAGTGAGTCTGTATATTCCTTTCATCTTTTGATGCTTTTTCCAGCATTCAATATTTTGCCCCTGGAGTTCTTCAATAGTTGAGGCTTGAATTTTTTTCAGTTGTTTCAGTTTGAGAAATGCTGAGTATGTTCTTCTCTTTTGGTTTTCTACTCCAGGTCTTTGCACATTCTGTTATAATATTTGACTCTGTCTTCTCGCGCCACCCTTTGAAATGTTCTGTTCAGTTCTTTTAGCTCCTCATTTCTTCCATCTGCTTCAGTATCTCTATGCTGTAAAGCAATTTTCAGAGTTTCTTCTGACATCCATTTTGTTTTTTTCTTTCTTTCTTGTCCTCTGAATGACCTTTTGCTTTCTTCCTGTAAGATGTTTTTGATGTCATCCCACAATTCTGGTTTTGGGTTATTAAGTGTTTAATGCAACTAATCTGTTCTTGAGATGATCTCTAAAGTCATATAGGATGTGTTCAAGGTCATATTTTGTCTCTTGGACTTGTTTAAATTTTCTTCCGTTTCAGCCTAAATTTGCATATGAACAACTGAGGGTGTGTTCCACAGTCTGCACCTGGTGTTGAACTGCAAAGTCAGTTTGAACAGCGAAGTCAGCAGTTCAAGCTCACTAGCCACTCCTCGGAAACCCTATAAAGGGTTTGCTATGGGTCAGAACTGACTCAAGAGCACACAACAACCCTAAATAAAAAGCAAATTTATCACTCAGATGGAAAAACATCATGCTTTTTTATAAATGGAGATACGAAGTTACCTATTTCGGAAGAAATCACAAATCATTTATTCATATGAGAGTTCAACTCAAAAAGTTTTCTAGACAAGATGCAGGCACAGCACATGACTACGTGACATTTTTATCTGTCACTAAAACACACTCATCTGCTATTTCCTTTTAAATTTAAAACCAAAATAATGTAGGTTCCACATTGCTTTCCAAGGGAATGAAAGCTTAAGGAAATAGCTCTTCCTTGGTCTAAACAAAACAAAACCTCAATGCCCCTGAGTTGATTCCAACTACTAGCAATCCTTATATTCCCAAGGCTGCAAATCTTTACAGGAGCACTTGGTGAGTCTGAACCCTTCACCTTGAAGTAAGCAGTTCAGTGCTTATCTGACAGTACTTTCAGGGCTCCTTAAACTTAACAGAGAGAGCAATAAAGGCACAAATGAAAATTAATTTAAAAAATTAAGTTATTTCTTATCTGTACAATAAATTTTAATAAGTATGCTTCAGTAGAAATCAGTGAAACAGATAGAGAAAAACCTACCAAAATTAAATGTTCATATACAAGGAGCTCTGGTAGTGTAGTGGTTATGAATTGGGCTGCGAGCCACAAGGTCAGCAGTTGGAAACTACCAGCGGTTCCGCGAAATAAAGATGAGGCTTTCTGCTCCCATAAAGATTTACAGTCTCGGAAACCCTGTACAGGGTTGCT